GGCTGGGTATGGTCAGCCCAACCCCTTCTCCTTGGGAGCGGCTGCTTCCAGGACACACATCCCTAGTCCCTCCATGCCCTGAGACAGACCTGTATGTCTTAGTTAGATAAGCGCTTGGTGCGGAAGAGTATGTTACATACTGACCCTGCCTTCCCCAAACACCAGTATCATTAATACCACCCTGAGAATGAACAGAGACCCTGAGTGCCAGGCACTGTGCTAAACACTTCATATGCATTCTCCCATGAAACCAAGGAAACCAAAGCATCACACCCAAGATAACACGCCTAGAACGTGGTGGAGCAGGACCCCAGCACTTGCCCAGTGCTACCTTGCCTTCAGAGATAACCGTGGGCAGAGAGCTGATAATAGTTGCCCATAACGGTCTGCAGACCTGAGTCTGATCTCCTGTGGATGGCGCAGGACTCTGAAGTCTCTACCAAGTACTGAGCAGATTAGCAGCTCCTTTTAAAGAAAAATAATTGCCTCCTTTGCTGGCACACTGCTGGAAGAGGGGACAGTCCTCTAGTGGGGGAGAGTGCCAATCAGGTTCTTAAGACTAAAACGCCCAACTCGGCTCTGCCTTCTACTCTTGTAGCTGAAACCCGTGGAACGCCCCCCAGTTAACACCACAGAAGCCTGGTACTTTGGGCACAGAGCCCAACCATAAACTGATTAGTATCCAACTCGTGCCAAAGACTCATTTGAGACATCTGATCGCGGAGAGAGATGGCCTACTATGCAGACTAGCTAGCCACGCCTCCTTAGATTCTCTAGTTTTAGCCATAGACTAAATTGGATCCACACAAAGCAACGTTTGTCCTCCACAGTAACTCAGCTTCTTACAGAAACTCCTTCACACACTTAAGATTTACGCCCTCAGCTTTTATAGAGAGTGGATATGAGAAACATCCATTTTAACAATCACTCAGAGCCTTTCATAAAGAACAGTTGAAAGCACTGTCCATTATGTTCTCCAATGCCCTTACATAAAAAAAGCACATGATGAATTCAGTGCCAACAAAAAGTTTGGCTCTCCCGGGCTTCCTTCATCAGAGGTGAACTGTGCAATCACATTTCTCTGTGCCCCAACTCTTCAAAACTTCAGAGGCAAATTCAGCGCTCAAGTGCAGCTAACTAATGCATCCCAACCACCTTGCGGTATCTATTCTTTGATTTGTTTTTACAATCTTGATTTTATTTTTATGTCTCTTACTTTAAATCAGGCTTCATTTTGCAAGCCAACTGGAGTCTTTTTTTCCCCCCCTCCTTCAAAAGTAGGACATAAATCCTAGTAAAAGAGGCTTTTTCTTACCTTCTACAAAATCATCACAGTCCTCCCAGCTGCTGCAAGTGCTCTTGGACTCGCTGGACCCATGCGCATCACTGCCCTGATCTCTGTCTGGTTAACACGACGGAACATATGAGAAGACCCCAACTAGCTTCAACTCCCTCATCTGCTCTGTGTACCAACCCCAAGCAAATAAGGACAAGAATGGCCCAGCTTTGAGGCCTCTAGGCTCTAGCGTTTCAGGAATAAAGGCGATTCCCAAAGCCAAAATGTTTCCACAAGATGGCAATACTTGGGACAGACTTGACTTTGGGACATAATTTTCTAAGTCATTTTAAACATTTCTTTTGAAATAAAAGAAACAAGCATTCACACCAATTGGTAGATTCTATTTTCCAAAGACATCTGCAGTAATGTTTCTTATCCCCCACGCCCTTTTACCATGTGACCTTGCTACTCTCTCATTAAGAGATGGGGTCTCTTTCTCTGCCCCCTTGAACTTGGGCAGACGCTGTGATGGCTCTGACTGATAGAAAACAGCCAAAGAAGGGGTGCCTGGGTGGCTCAGTCAGTTAAGCGTCTGCCTTCAGCTCAGGTCACGATCGCAGGGTCCTGGGATCGAGCCCCACATCGGGCTCCCTGCTCGGAGGGAAGCCTGCTTCTCCCTCTCTCACTACCCCTGCTTGTGTTCCTGCTCTATCTGTCAAATAAATAAATAAAATCTTAAAAAAAAAAAACAGCCAAAGAGACACTGTGTCAAGCCCTGGGACAGCTTTCCACTGTGGAAGGCTGGGCACTTCCACTTCCTGCCTCTTGGAAGCCAGTCACCACCTAAGAAGTGTGACCGTCCCAAGCAAAGCATTTGGTAAGAAGCCAAAGCCACGTGGAAAGGGCCTGAATGAGATGCCACGTGGAGAGGGCCGGGGACACAGCGTCACGTGCATGAGAAAGCCATCTGGAAGGGGATCCCCAGCCCTACTCGTCCCAGCTGTCCCTGTGTGCATGAGAGATGAACCCTGTTGAGTCCTTCCCTAAATCCTGACCGTCAAAATCATAAGCAAAATAAAAATCAGTGGTTTTCAGATGGGAAAGAGGGAGAGTCCTTCACTCACAAGGGTATTGTGGTATTTAACACATGCAAAGTCCTTAGCCCAGTGCCCAGTGTACAGTAAGTGTTTGATAAACAGTAACTATTATTTTTAATCTATCAAGCAGCAAAACTGAAAGTTCTGAGTAACACCTGCACGGGAAACCAACTTTCTCAAGAACTCTTTTGTGCCAACATCCCATAATCACATAACGTAAGATGATCTCCATAAACAGAGTCCGTGGCAGGTCACCTGTCTTCCAGTCTCTTCTGGACACCTCTCAGTCATCTCCAACAGGCCCCACAGTGCATGAGGTAAGGTATCCACATACATGTTGTGTATCTAGAGACAACTGTAGGGCATCAGGTCAGGCCCATCCAATCCCGGGCAGAATCCAGATTGGAGGTCCTGGAGAAAGGTCAGCTGCTGTACTCACGCCTGACTCACCTCCTGAACAAGTGTCCAAGCAGCTGTAACAGTGTGAGGCACAGGGAAGGAGGAGGAGATACAGGAGGAAGAAAGAAGAACACAAGCGGTTTTTCTACCACTTACACGCCCAGAAGGTTAACCCACGTGCTAATATCTCTGCATATTCTGTAAGTTGGACGTTACTGCTTTCTTTGCAATTCTTGTTTTCCTGTGCACACGCCTGCACACTATCCAGGTTTATCTACCCATTCAGCCGACCTTTACCAAGTGCCCATCACGTGCAAAACGCCGCGCGAGGTGCGGGCTCTGCGTCCCTTCCGTCGGTCAAGGTAAAGCACACTGCTGACTTTCACTGACGGGGTGCTGGCACTCTGCAGGAAAACAAACAACTGGATCCTTAGGATCCTAATGGAGCCGTTCCCCACAATTTAGTCTCTTTATGTCTTCTCACCCTCTGGAGACCAGAGCCGCCAACGAGTCCCTTCCGGTGAAAAGAGCCCCATTCCCTCCCGGAGCAACCCTCCTGATTCCTGACAGTCCCTGCGTCTCCCCGGGCAATGCTGGGATCAGTACACCAGCACTTCAAAGAGGCTCTCACACTGGAGTGCAGGCAGCGCTTTCTAGAAAAAAAGAGAGAAAATCCACCAGAGCTCTGATTCTAAATTGGGTGGGGGGAGAGAAGGGGGTACCGGGAGTCAGCGCTGGGATCTGACGGCACCACACAGTGCACCGAGCATCAGAGCCATGAGACAAATTCAGCTCCAGAGATGAAAAGTCTTCTCTCGGTGCTGACAACATCTGTTTTATTTTGAAGGTTGCTAAGGAGAGTTCTAGCTGGGCCAACATTGTTCCAGTTCAGTACTTCACAGAGAGACTCTCGCACAGGGTTCAGACGGCAGGAATAAAAGCTCGCCAGATAAACCCTGCTCCTTTTACTGTGCAGATATCAAAGAATCACTTTGCTACCAGGGATGATTAACACCCTGCCTGGGCTCACTCGGAATTGGCCATACCTTCTGCTCACTCTCTTATTCCTCCTCTTCTCCCTGCCCCCTCTGTCCCCACTTGCCAACTCCCCCTCTCCGCCAAATAAAGGCTCATTAGGAAGAAACAGACAGCGAATGTGCCACTAACCCGGTAGTATTTGATGCGGAGACGAGGAAGAGCGAAGTGTGAGATGAGGGTCATGGTGGGAGGATGCTCAGCATCAGACGATGGAGGAAACGATTTCCCGGCCTTTAAAGATCTGGTTTACCTACTAACACCAGAGCGTTGCCAAATGCCCGCATCGGGGCTCAGAACAGCCACGGGACAGCGAAGAGATCAAGCTCAAAACAGAAGAGTCTGACTGGTAGGTCCAGCTCCACCTCTGTAATGGCAGAGGTGGGAGGCGAAGCACCCCATCCTCCACTCGCCCCTACCCTGCTTAAGCTATTCTAAGACAGTAACAGGAATTAGAAAAGTCAGGCCTGAAGGGCAAGCATTTAGGAAGATAAGGGCCAGGGAAGATGCGAATGAAAGAAAGGCACAACAATTTCACATATATGCCAAGCTGTTATAAAGTGAGGGCCATGGTGGCCAACAGCTGAGGGCCACTCTGCTCCTCCAGCTGGGTAAAGAGCCCACCAGGACAGCCCAGGGAGCCAGGAAGGCCCTTCCACTTAACTGGTATCTGCAAATAAAATCATGTTGGGATTCCAGGGCATTCAGGAAAAAACACACACCCAAAGCACCACATTCCGTTAACTGAAGGAATTCTCTTTCTGTTCTGGGCTTTAGGAAAGCACCAGCTCCTGCCAGAGAGCACCTCAGAGTCTAGGAAAGGAAAGGAAGAATGGCCAGTGTTCTCACTCCAACGAAGATCCATTTCAAAGAGCCATTCAGCAGGGCCCACCCTGCAAATCTTGACAACAAAAGGAAACTCTATCCTCTCAAATGAGGGCCTTGAGACAACTGAGGCCACATTATCTAAACATTTCCCTTGCCTGCCAGATTCTATTTCAGCCTGCTTTGCTTCTCTCCCCTCCCCCCGCCCCGCCCCCCAGCTTGGGATCTCTCCAGGCTAAAGCATGCTTGTCCTGATGTAAAGAATGCCAGGATAATGCAAAAGGCGCAGAGCTCTGCGGAGTCCTGATATCCTAGCAGAGGGAGTAAAGCCCCAGAGGCTAAGGGCCACCTTCCCAGCCACTCACCTAGCCAGGTCACGTCCACACTGGCCGGGGCAGACCTGGCCTCTGCCACCTTGTACCAGCTCCTGTTGTGTCCGGGTGCCCAGAGCGCCACGTGGCAGAAATAGTAGCCGGAGTTTTCTTTGCTAACATCTCGAACCAGTAAATGGTAGGAGCGTGCATCCACATGGCTCAAAGCAACGTGGGGAGAGCTGTGCACAAGGGAATCCCGGTCCAGCCGTGCCAACACGGGCGAGCCAGGCAAAGTGCTGTCGGGCGACCTGCCGAAGTACCACGTCACCTCGGGTCGGACATCATCTGCTCGGTCTGTTGTGATGTTGCAGGTCAGATCCAGCTCCTTTCCCTCAGCCACAGACACGCTCCGGGCCACAGCTGCTCGCAGAACTTGAAAATGAAAATGAAAAAAAAAAAATACATCTAGATCATCTGGGTTATGTTTGCCCCTCCCTCCCTCCCTTTAGATCATCTCCTTCTATGTTCTTATTTATGGCATTAAAGTTAGAAGGCTTTGTGCGATTCTAAGTGCTTGAGAAATATTTACTGAATAAATTAAGGAAATTATAATACATTTCTTTCCATTACATGAAAATACTAACAGCAGTAAACACTTACATACACTTATGAAATGCCAGGCACTACTCTGAGTGCCTTAGAAACGTTAACCTTCAAAACGACCGTAGGAGGTAACTACTATTATTATCTTCATTTTACTGATAAGGAAACTGAAGCACAGAGAAGTTAAGTAACTTGCCCAAGGTCACACAGGTAATACTTGGCAGAGCAGGGACTCAAATGTGAGCTGTCTGCCTCCAGGGGCTCTGCTCTTAACTGTTAACGCTTGTTTGAAAAGAAGTCGAAACATCACAAAACTAAAATTATAGCTTCTCCATGTGCATGGTAAGACTTGGGTGATTTTACAGAGAAAGGATAGCTCAGTGCTGACCGGCATGCGTTATTAGTTGGGGACCAGGGGCTTGGGGTTGGAGGCTGGACTGCAGGAGGTGAGGGTGAAACCATCTTCTGGGTGAAAAAGGAGAAAATCCTAAACAGAAGGACCAGGAAAGTGAAACCAGACAATATGCCTTATGAGTCAAGCCTTCAAAATGTAATGTAATGGAATAAATGCAGAGCATCATTTATTCCATTAGACATACCCACCTTAAAGCCAAACATAAAACAGATATTCTAAAACCAAAACACAATGACTTTCGGATTATCCATGCCACTGCCTTCTCACAAGACTGTGGATAATTAAAAGTAGACTATATTTAGATGAAGTATTGAAGTATTTGGTGTCACAGTCTCAGGGCAGATCTGGTTTCAGCATTCCCCTGTCAAAGCTTTTTACATGGAAACATTTTACTTTGAGTGTTTTGTTTTATTTTTAAAGAAGTTGAACATCTGTAATCAGAGTAGAAAAGCACTCAATTCATGGTAATGCTCTGGGAACCACTGCTTAGATGAGAAATAGCTAACACCTCCCAGGGGATTCGAGTGGAGGCACAGCCCTGGTCTTCCAAGACTGGTTCAGCCTCAGCTGCTATCCTGAGTAAGCTCAGCAACAAAGGCTCGTGCCTGGCTCAGAAAAGGCCCAACCCCAAAGCCCATGCCCTCTGGAGCAGACTGCTTTCATATAAATGTATCTAAAGCCTGACAACATTTTCAACAAGCATTTCAGGTCAAGTTCAAGACCCACCTTGATGAAGACAGAAAATGAGGTGGGTATAGTATTATAAAAGGGAATTTAAAAGTCTGATTTCTCACCTCCACCCACTCTCCAAATTCTTCCTCCTCCTTCACCCCTTTAAAGGGGCCAAAAGTAACCTGAGGGCATCTTTTGAGAGGGGTCAGTATGGGAACCGCCACTCTGAGCCTGCACTGTGTGGGTTTCGAACAGCCCCACGAGCAATGCCTATGGTCAGAGACCCTGGAATACTGCCGGAGTACCTCTGTGCCGGCTAGAAGTAAAAGGCGGCTCAGGAGGGAAGCAGGTGAGTGTGGAAGGGGTAAATACACAGCGGTGGACTGCAGGTATGGACAAAACGGATTCTTAGCTTTAAGAATAACTGAAGAGTTCACTTTGTAATCTTCTCTCTGCAAGGCGCTAAATAGCTTGCCACATCACTAACCATTGTTCCCGTATGTTCTGGATTGCGGGGCGATTCACAGCTGGGAGACAGGACAGAGCAGGTGGAAGGAAAAAAAAGAATAATTTCTAAGGACTCGTAATGCAAGGGGATACCCCGGACAAAGCCTGTGGTGGTGAAGCTTTCTCTGGTCGGATAGAACTGAAGCCATAAATTAGATACCAAGATCTGCATGAAGCAGACCACTCCCAACATGGGGGAGGGGGGGAGAGGGGTATTGCCACATATATAACACAGCCCCACTGTTTAAGTAGCTTTGGGCTGTTTATCATAACAATGCAGTAAGAATATTTAAGAAGCTAGCTATGGATAGTACAGGTGTTGACAAAAAGAGAGAGGCCAGCCCTCTACCTGGGGTCCAAGAAGATAATTTAGGAAGTCTGTGACCTGGGTGGGAAAAAATCTTGTCTTTGTTTTTACTAATCTCTACCTGAAATATAGCATCTCCCCTCATTATGAAACTAAGCAACAAACCACTATACTCTGGTTTCTCTTCATAGCGTATAAATCTTTCGCCTTTTACTATATATTATTTAATGCATTAATAAAGCACAATATTACTATGTAACAAATTTGTCTTAAAATATTTCGATAACTATTTCAATAGAATCATTTTCCCTTGTCATCTTATATACATTTTTAATGAATTAAAACACGTTAATTCCGAGAAGGGGTCTGTGGGCTTCAAGACTCTCAAAGAAGCCCATGGCAACAAAATGGTTATGAAGCCCAGGCTCAGGAGAGAGCCAGATGCTATTACGTGCATAAGAAGTTCAGAGTTTTCAAGTCTTACACTCGGTATTATGGATTTTGTGGCTTGTCTGAAATAAAGAATACCTTTACAATTGAAATTCTGCACAAAAAGATAACTTGTTGCAAATATGAAATTCTTAATCGTTCTGCCGCTCCCCC